TAGAAGATTATGTGTTTTTAGTGATGTTGTAACCTACCTCGAGCTATGAGAAGAGGTAGGTAAGAAATAAAATTATTATTATTATTATTATTATTATTTATTATTAACTTTATTTGTACCCCGCTAGCATCTCCCGAGGGACTCGATGCGGCTTACACAGGCCGAAGCCTCAAAACACAATACAGTAGAAAACATAACACAACAATAGCAAAGCAAATCAAACAATAAGCAATAACGACAATAACAATACATCAAACATTATTAAAACAGGCTCAGCTGGTGCAATGGGTACAAGAAATTAAAAGTGCTGAGATGGTAGGGGCACATGGGATTAAAAGTGTAGTGTGCAATAGCAATTAATTATGCTAAGGTGCTATCAAAACTTGGGTGGGGATTCCTAATCTGAAAAGGCACAGCGGAACAACCAAGTTTTTAAATTCCTTCTGAAAGCAGCAAGAGAAGGGGCCTGTCGGAGATCTTTTGGGAGGGCGTTCCAAAGTCGGGGGGCTGCCACAGAGAAGGCCCTGTCCCGTGTCCCCACCAAACGCGCTTGCGATGTAGGTGGAATCACGAGCAGGGCCTCCCCAGATGACCGGAGCGAGCGCGTGGGTTCGTAGATGGTAATGCGGTCACGCAGGTAAGGTGTTATTATTATTATTATTATTAATAGTCCCCAATGGGGACTCGGAGTGGCTTACATGAGGCCAAGCCCAAATAACAATTACAATAAAGAAAAACCAAAACACAAAACAAACAATAAACAATAACATCATAGTTACATAAAACATATGAATACATAACAATGTGAAAAATTACAGTAAACACAGGCACAGTGCTGACAAAATTACCATCTGTCATCTGCAAAAGGCCACCCTACTTAGATTTACACGCATTATTCACCAATACATCACACAGTCCTAGACACTTGGGAAGTGTACGATGTGTGATCAAATACAAAAACCAGCATAGTATCTTGTTTACTGTGTACAAATCTTACTATGTGTCTAATAATAATAATAATAATAATAATAATAATAATAATAATAATAAATGTTACCCACCTTTTTTCAAGATGGGTTACAATACAGTTACAATATATAGGTAAAAGCCAGACCATTAAAACACATATGTTAAAATACAGGCGATTCAACATATTAAAACCACTTGTTCATTTTCTTCCTCTCCTACACTTTCTTGTCTCCTTATCTTTGACTTATTGCTGCCTCCTGGTCAGACGGTGGTGGAGGCTCCTTCTTTGGAGGTTTTTAAACAGAGGCTGGATGGCCATCTGTCAGGGGTGCTTTGAATGTGATTTTCCTGCTTCTTGGCAGGGGGATGGACTGGATGGCCCATGAGGTCTCTTCCAACTCTATGATTCCACGATTCTTATATCCAGCTACCTGCTTTCCCAATAACCAGGTGGATAAGATCTTAAAAAGCACTTTTTCATGGGGAAATAGCAGGGAGGAAGGTTTTCAGACCAATTTCTGGAAATGTCCCCTCAGCCTGTGTAATTTGATGTCATAGTTTAATATGCTGCATAATATATCCACCTCCCAAAAAAATGGTCCAAAGAAGATGAACTCAAATTTCTTGATTAGGATAATTCTACGCATTATTAATTTGAGGTAATTGCTGCCAGAGTATGCGTCAGTGGCTTCCATCTCAGATTATTCTGAATTAGACTAATCCATCATTTTTAAATCTGTTAATATCTATGAGTACGGCTATTTTTGACCTCTGGGTTCAGAGAGTGTCATGTTTTTGAATCCTGGTTGCTGATGTATGATGTACAGGAGAGAAATAATACCTCTCCTATCTGTTTATCATCATTGCTTTGATCTAATAGAGATGCTTTCCCATCCTTTAAAGAATATTAATATCACAGTTTAGGATGAGCTCGGGTTTATATTTAAGTAAATCGAAACCTTTACATTGAAAATATATTTATTGGCGTGCTTGTAAATGTCTTAAAACATGGTAACATTGTCATCACATGCTTCCTTTCTTTTTCAGTCTTTTATTTTCCTTCAAAACATAGGCACTGAAAACCAAACCTACTAAATTTAGCAGTATATTTTATGTACATCCTGGAATGGTCACCTTGGTGGAGTGAACTATACCTTTAAAAGTGCCCAGATTCACTCATGTCACCTCCAATCCACGAGGCCACAAATTCATTTTACGAAACATACCATTCTTAGACATGGAAATATTTCTGCAGGATAAAGATAGCAGGCTGTATTAAAGAGACAGTTCTAATCCATATATATCACTTGAAGTTTTTACACTATTTTTCTGTAAAGTAAAGGTTGCCATCTCCTTTCAGGTTTAATAAATTGAGAACATCTTCTCTCTCCAGTCTTTTCTGTTTTCCATCACTTGACTTTCAAACCTCATTCAGACTTTGCTGCCACTTCCTTATGATAGCAAACCAAACTGGGAGGTGAAATATCCAAAGTGCAAGAAGAGCTGGCTAGGGAAGTGAATCTTCCTGGTTCCTTGAAGTTGTTTCACATGGCTTAGTGTCAAACCCTGCAGGTTAAGCTTATAATTTTCCATCTGCCTACCTGATGTGTAAGATTCCAGCTGGGGACGCAGATTGCTTTGACAAAAATAAGATTCCTATTTGACTGGCTTGAAAGATTAATAGGAATGACTAATGCCCTTTGCGAAATTAGATTGTATTGTCAGTATGTTTATGTGCATGTGTGAAAGAGAGACAAGGAAGAGTTGATCAAGGATGCCTAAAATGGTCCTCCTTCCCATTATGGGATCAGAAATAATAGCAGTGGAAGACATTTACCAAAGATTGTCTGATTTTGAAAGTTAAGCAATGCCATCCCATGGTGCTGAAGGCTATATTTTAGATGTGGCAAATCACCTCTGAAGTTGAAATTGAAGGCACACACACACACACAAAAGTAGCTGCAGTATTTATTGATTTCAGCCTAGTTTTTGTTGTTGCCTAGAGGCATGAGCCAGTCATCAGCCAGCCCACTTCTTGGCTGACATACCGCAACAGCCTGGATGCTGGTGACAAACTAGCATGGTGGGTGGTGGCATAATACAGGGGCCATCCAGGTTTGATTGTATAGGTCCTTTCTGCAGCTTTGGAATGAGGCAGGCATGTAAGTCCAAGCAGATGTCTAGAGGTGCCACTCCCAAGATCCCCTGCGGTGGTGTTCTACCACTAATCGTTGGGGAAGCAGAACAAATATGTTCTGATGGCTTACAATGATGCTATTATAAGTAAACAATACAATACTTCTTATCTGCCCTTACCTGATAGCCACAGTTTCATTTACTGATGCTCCAAAAAGAAATTTCAGAAGTGTTTGTGAGCATCCTAATCCTCCAATCCTATTCTATGTTATGTTTATGGCCCAAGCATACCATAGAAGAGCACTGGATGACCAAGAGAAGCTCATAAATGGAAGCAATTGTGGGCATTTCTCAATTCTTCTGTGCTATTATTTGGTATGCTTCTGACCCAAGTGTAGGGTTTCCAAATGTGTCATTTCAGGTAACCACAAGGTGTCCATGTCCTGGACCATATTCCACTACAGTGGGGGGCGGGGGGCGGTGTGGCATCACCATGTATATGGAATACAGGCCACCCACTACACAAATTCCTAAGGGAAGTCAGGAGAGATCCAGGTCACATTGTGTGCCCATTGGAAGACCAAAAAGTAGGCTAGAGAGCAGACTAAACTTTTATGGCCTTGATTCCTCCTAATTGAGGCAACTGGCAGACCCAAGAGGAGCACACTTTATGTGGGTAGTGTGACACCACCTTGTGACATGATGCCAGGAAACAGGAGGCTGAGATGCCTTCGTCTTCACCCTCGGTGATGATGCAAAGGGTGGTGTTGCAAGTTGTACATAAAGTCCTGTTTCCACAATAGTAAAAATGAAAAAAATGAAGCCATATTTGGTATAATCTACAAGAACTTTCAGTTTTCTTGAAAGTAAAATCATAGTAGATTTCTTGTTTAATCACCATTGGGGGGAAAATGGTTGTGTGGACATGCTGTAAATGATAAGATTAAATGAAAGCTAGGCCTTTATTCTGTCTTTTCTGGTTTTTATTGTTTTAGTTGAGCTCCTTATTTGTTTTTCCAGAGACACTTGCTGATACCTCTAGACCCATGTAAGCAACTTTGTGGGAGTAACCATGACTGAAGTCCTTCTGTCTGCTGTCCTGAACATGACTGAAACTCACCCGCTGGCTAGCAATGTCTCCAATGTCACCAACAAATGTTCACTGACCAAAACTGGCTTTCAGTTCTATTACCTGCCTGCTGTCTACATTGTAGTCTTCATCACTGGATTCCTGGGCAACAGTGTGGCAATTTGGATGTTTATCTTTCACATGAGGCCCTGGAGTGGCATATCTGTTTACATGTTCAATCTGGCACTAGCTGACTTCTTGTATGTCCTGACTCTTCCTGTGCTCATCTTCTACTACTTCAATCAAACCGATTGGATCTTTGGAGACTTCATGTGTAAGCTGCAGAGGTTCATTTTTCACGTCAATCTGTATGGAAGCATTTTGTTCCTCACTTGCATCAGTGTGCACAGATACACAGGTGTTGTGTATCCCTTGAAATCCTTGGGGAGGCTGAAAAAAAAGAACGCAGTATATATCAGTGCCCTGGTCTGGGGAGTTGTGGTTGTTGCCATTTCACCCATCTTCTTCTATTCTGGGACTGAGGTAAGGAAAATCAAAACCATGGCTTGCTACGATACAACGGTAGATAACTATCTGAGAAGCTACTTCATTTACAGCATGTGCACCACAGTCTTTTTATTCTGCATCCCATTCATACTGATTCTTGGTTGCTATGGATTGATAGTAAAAGCACTGATTTACAAAGATCTAGACAATTCCCCACTTAGAAGAAAATCAATTTACTTGGTGATAATCGTGTTGGCAGTATTTGCTGTCTCTTATCTTCCTTTTCATGTGATGAAAAACTTGAATCTACGAGCTAGGCTGGATTTTCAGACTCCAGAAATGTGTGCCTTTAACAACAGGGTTTATGCCACTTACCAAGTAACTCGGGGTCTAGCGAGTCTCAACAGCTGTGTGGATCCTATTCTGTATTTTTTGGCAGGCGATACATTTCGAAGAAGGCTCTCCAGAGCAACCAGAAAAGCTTCAAGACGAAGTGAGCTCAATGTGCAATCCAAAAGTGAGGATATGACTCTCAGTATTTTATCTGAGTGCAAACAGAATGGAGACACAAGCTTGTGAATTGTTATTAAATTTTTTTGCAAGCAAACGCTTTGCTCTGCTTTTCCTCATCTTCGCATATTGTTTTTAACCCATATAGCACCCTTGTTTCATGCATTTTCAAGAAGACGTAACAACTGGACAACATATGTTTGTGTATGTGTTTTTTTAAAAAACGTAAAAATTTTGAAACGCTCTGTGAGCCAAGGAAGAAAGTTAATGTACAGTTTAAGCAGAAACCGTATGGATGGCATCTGAAACATTAATTTATCTGATAGACCAGTGATGCATAAAAACAGCTTAATTTCTAGTTTGAAGAGTATCTATGAAAAGTAAACCTTGCCCAATTTCTTGTTTCAAATCTCTCTTGTTTCTGCATTGTTTTGGCCAGAATGGGAGGGTCTATGGGGTACAGCCCCAATCAGGGATATTGTAGACCCCTTGAAATTTCCAGTTTGAATTGGGAAAAAACAAAACTTTTTCATCCTCATCTTCATTATCAACAACAAAAAAGCATCTAGTCCTTTCATTTAAAGAGTTTTCAAGATGCTGGCAGTATTTTACCCATCCAATCAATAAGAAGTAAGCCTGCTCTAACTTTGGTACATATTAAAGTAGAATTTTCTTTAATGATTAAATAACGTGAAGCATATTAGATGACTTGAAATTTTTGTTTGGCATTGCCTTTGGGCACCTCTCTCCCTTACCCAATGTACTTGTGAGCTCTAACAGCTCTTCTCTTTTTCTCAAATTGATTTTTGTTTCTTGTCTTTTTCTCATTTTTGAAAGCCCATTGAAACAATGGCCAAGATACACTAATGTTTTTTTGGCAGTTATTTCATGTCTCCAGAAAGTTAACCTATTAGAGTGGGTGCTATCTACCCCCTTAAATATGAGTTTATATAGAGAGGCATTTAGCCATGTGGTGTTCTGAGGAAAAGGATGGGTTGAGTCACACTAAACTTGTGATCATATGGCTGTAATGAGCATCCATTGCTACATGCAGGATACTGTTTCCAGATAGTCTAATGAATCATGAGAAATCAGTACTTCCTAACTATATGGTGAACCCTCAGCCTGACATACACAAGTCTGCTCGGTAACGCCTAAGACTGGCATATGGAAGCATCTGATGAAATTTTCCATGATCTCCATGTGCTTGAATGTTATTCCAATAGTCCCTTGTTGGTTCTTCTCACAGATTGCTCATTTATATGGTTTTAAGCCTCTTACTGCCCAAGTAGTAGTAATACTGTCTGAGGTAATGGCAAAAGATGGATTTAAAAAAAAAACAAAATAGTACTGTGCTATTTTCAAGGGATTCTGACTCTGTTTTTTTCTTTGAACATAGCTAAACAGAAAACATGTATCTTATATCTCTATGCTTTGGCAGCAATTCCACTTCCCAGTCAACTGTTTGATGTCCTGCTTAAGATTAGTTATCTAGTTTCTGGGCCATTGTAATTTTTTGAATTGGTAAAACCTCTCTGATTGGCAATACTTTGTGATTTTTCCCACCAAAAGATGTGCATTTGATTTATTTTTAGCCTTAATTTTGATTTCATTTTGTTGAATGCAGCACTTTGCATGACAATGGCTGTTTTCCAAGCAAATTGTTACTTCTCAAGTGGATCCCCCCTCCACCACCTCCTTCTCCCTCTCTGAGAAGAGGAAAAAGAAGCTGCTATTAATTTTCACTGTGGGAAAAATCATAAACATAAAAGATTCACATAAGAATAAGAAATGCCTTGTGAGATGAAACTGTCTTTTTCCTTCCTTTCATGTCAAGCATTTAGTGATTGATGGAATTATTGGTGAGGAGGATGTGCTCTTCTCAGAGGCGAAAGGCCTGGGGCAAGGACCTATTCTGCAAGTACAGGGAACTAGCAGTCAAGTTTTTAAACTGTGTGGAGACCTGAGTGACCTGTGTAAAACAGTCTTTCCATTTCCAAATGTGCAGAAAGTGGCAAGCTTGCCTGTCAGGGATGTACCAAAGAGGACACAGCTAGGGAGCCATCAGGCAGAAAAGATAGGGAAGGAGGATTGAACTCCCAAATAGGGCTCCCTTCGTGGCCACCTGTGCATAGAATATTTAAATTCTTCATGTTTGAATCGTCATTATCAGTCCATATCTGAGATCTTCAGGAAATGGCCTATGAGCATTTCTGGCAGACTGATAATCACCACAAATGAGAGCTTTTTGCAGTGTCGGATGCCTGGAACTTTCTCCTCGGGGACGGCTTCCCTTAAGCCTTCCTAGGCTCTCAGGTATCTATGCGACTGGTTTTCTAAAGTTCAAATTAGTTTTATCTTTTAAAACTCACTCTTGATTGTAATCCACTCTTTGCTTTTTGTTTGTTGTTCTGGGGTGGTATTTAGACTTTACTGTGTTGTTGCATATTGTTGGCATCTGCCCTGACCACTTGATGTGGAAAGGTGAAAGGTATATTCAAAAAGTAAACAAAATAGATCAGATTTCTACATGTAAAAATCTAAATTATATAAGATCAAATTGCACTGTAGACTTCCGACTGTTTGTGTTTGGTTGTGTGATGGAGAATCAGGCATGCAGTTTGGTTGCATGTATACAATTCAGTATACATGCAACCAAACTGTTTAGAAGTCATTTCACACAGAGAGTGTCAGAGTGGGAAAAAAATCAGCCAGATGGATCAGAGATGCATAATTTTGGATAAGGAAAAGATAGGAAGAGTTTCATTTGAATTTGGCCAGAATAATGTAAGCTACCGACTGCACTGACTGCACAAGCATATTGTTCTAGAATTTTTTTTAAAACTGGACTAAAAAGAAAACCTTGCTTACTTCACTTACTATTCCAAAGTATATCTGAAAAAGATGTTCTAGAAAGCTGTGCTTCAAATCATTATACATTCCTTGTATACAAAATGAAGAGGATACATAATCCTTTCAATGGCTTTAGGAAATCCTTACAAAAGCCCATGCTTTACTGGAGGGATAAAAATAAACTGTTTACATCTTGCTTATTAATTTCCAAGGACTGAATATGAGTGGAAAGAGAATAGTTCTGAATATCTCTTGGCAAAACTGCAAATCAGCTTAAAATTCATAAATGAAAAATGTATTGAACCTGCAGAATATATTTAACTTTTTAATGGGATGAGGCAATGACCAGTGAACTGTGCTATATTATGTATTCATAATGCTTCCAGATCCTACATGTAACTATGAATCGGATAGTATTGTGCGACGGCGGTTTCCAGGCCCTCTTTAATGCTCTGTAAAACTGAGCATCTTAATTTTCACAAAATGTATTGGAAGCACCTTCTCCACTTACTATAACTATTGAGGACATCAGATTCAGCAGATCCAGTGAATCTTACTTCTGAATAAGTAGGCATAGGATTATACATGAAATGCTGCCGTTTAGACATTTTTTTAACCCATATGACAAGCACACAAGGCCATTGCGCAAAATATTCTTTTACTTGCAGTTTTAGGAAAATGGAAAAAGTCAAGAAAATTTAGATCCTAGATTAAAAAGGAACATTCCTCTCATAAATGAACCCCTCATGATTTACCATTTATGCTAAGACTCTGTGAGAATCCCAGAGGTATGAAACAGTCTTCCCGTGCCACTAAACACTTCTCTGAAACCAAATTTAACTGAGACATGCCTTACTGAGCACAGTAACTGAATTAAGGGCAGAATGGTGGAATTGATTTTCTTAACCTTTTCATCTAGGATAACTTTCTTTTCCTACATGCTCACATTCAGCCAACTTACACATACTTCCATATCTTCTATTTTCCTTCATGCTCCATGTAGTTAATTTTCATCAGGGTGTAACCACCTTTAAAGTAGGTTATAATCTGATAATAATTTCCTACCACAAACTCCCATCAAACTCTATATGCTTGTTAAGCCCTCTTATTCCCAACTGAAGATGCTTCCTTAATAAACTTGAGTCCTGATCCAACAAGAATGATTCTCAAACAGAAGCAATTTCCCATTTCTGTATTTCATTTATTTATCGAATTTATACTCCACCTGTCTCCTAGGATGGGATCCAAGGCAGTGTGGGTGTTCTTTTAAATTAGCTTGTCCATGAGCCACATATGTTGTGTGGATGTTTCCAAGGTACTTAATTGTAACATTCAGGTACTCCCTCCATCCATAATACTAATTAGCAGTTTAGGGAACTGAATCTTGGCCCTCCTTTTTTGTAAGCCATTAGAATTAAACCATTGAATCCAGTGTCTGCAGAGAAATAATGCTCATCAGTGTAATGTGGCAGCTGATGATCTTTCTATCAAGGACATTATCCTTAAAATTCTTGAGTTTGTATCAGAAGTCTCCAAACTGCAGTCTTCCATGTGTTTTGGACTTCAACTCTCTAAAGCAGTGGTTCTCAACCTGTGGGTCCCTAGGTGTTTTGGCCTACAACTCCCAGAAATCTTGGCCAGTTTACCAGCTGTTAGGATTTCTGGGAGTTGAAGGCCAAAACATCTGGGGACCCACAGATTGAGAACCACTGCTCTAAAGCCTCAGATGCTTTGACCAATGAAATCCAAAACACCTGGAAGACCAGAGTTTGAGAAACACCAGTCTACACTGTGTCGTGATAACAAAGCTCAGTCTTATATGTGTTTTATCATACAGAACTCTCTGAGAAAGGTATTGTTTTCCTGGTGAAAGTATGATAGCTGGGATCCAGTGCTGGTAGTGCTACTCTGGTTGTGTAACACAGCTGTGAATTAGAGAAGAGAACAGTGCATGAGGCACAGTACCACATGCACAAGAGAGTGGATTCTGCAACAGAGTCGACAAGGTAGTTCGGTAGAAAGGTGGAGGGGTAACAGGCAAGCATAGTGATGTAGGCTATCTGGAGATCCTGTGTAAACACATTCAAAAACGTAGTTGGATTGGAAGGAAGGATAAAAAGGGAGAAATGCAAGCAGTGGTGAAAAAATAATCTAATCCAGTTACTGTTACATTACTTCACTGTTATCCTGTCCCACCTGTGTTACGTTACTTCACTGGTATCCTCCCGCAGCTGCATCTCTTACTTGATGTACTGTCTCACTACCAGCACTGGGTCCCAGCTATCATACTTCTACCGTTTTCCTTTTATAGTGTAAGTTAAAGAAGTCATCCTAGAAATA